GGAAGGATGGAGCCGGCTCCCGGCCGGGCCCCTATGGTCCGGACGCCTCCTCTGGGGAAGAGGAAGCAGCCCGGGGCCCGGCGTGGAGCGGAGCGTCCGTCCTCCACGTTTCTTTCCCTTCGTCTGCTCCGCGCGTTCCGGGCGAGGACACCGGCGCCCGCGTCACCTGGGAGCCACCTTGTGGCCTCTTCTCCGCCGATCCGCGGAGGGAGCACTTGGCAATCTTAGGGATTGGCTGCGAGCGTGGGAGGCAGGGAGCGAACAGTTACAAACCGGCGTTGCTTGGGCGCCAGAGACTTTATTTGCTTCGTTTCATCCCAGCCCGAGTCCTGGGAAGGGGCGCCGTCGCCCCATTTTACTGCTGCGAAGCCGGTGCTGGAGTGAGCGCCGACTCGCGCCTAGATGCCAGCCTGGGCCCGGAGCCAGGGCTGGGACCTGGCGCTTCAGGGTCTGTTATGAAATCAGGTGACTCTTCTGGGGCGAATTTTACTCCTCTTCCAGGTTTCTTTCTTTCTTGTTTGTTTTTGTTTTCTTTTAGTGTCTAACCCCCGAGTGAATGTCTTCCCATTTGGGGTCGCTGGCTCTCGGCGGTGGAAGCAGCTCTCGTTCACGGCACCCTGCTCGCAGCCCCTCTCTCGATGCGCAGTAAAGCACAGGCACCTTCGCGCCGCTTCCCGCCCTTCTCGCGGAGGGGCCTGCGAGTGGAGGTGAGTCGTGCAGTCGCTGGGCGTCCTCTAGACGCGCGTGGACCTTGCCCTGCACCCCCTTTGCCGTGTTTCTTTCTACCGAGAACAGAGTCGTCTTTATGCAAATAATGGCACCAGCTGCAAGTTGAAGGATGGATGATGTTTGGAGGAAACTGCCTCGCTGAGGTGACAAGGTGGCCACATCTTTCTGTGGCTGGAATCTGATGACCGAGTCGTAGGGGAGAGCCTGAGTTCCTCTAGCACTCCCCCCGCCCCTCGAACTCTTCTGAAAGAAAGGTTTGTTTTCATAGAAGGGAGGGAACGGATTAATGGTTTGTAAAGATCAGTGTAAATTACCTGCTTGGAGCTTAGGCAGTTGCAGACAGGCTGTCTCAGCAGGGGGATTTGGTAACAGATTTCAGTTCTGGCAGGGAGGAAAACTCAAGAGCATATGGGAATCTGCTTCTTCTTTTTCTTCCTTTTTTTTTTTTTGGCCTCAAAAATGGTAATTTGGGGAAATCTTGATTTCTTAGAAATGGCCAGCTCCCTCATTTTTAACTGCAAGACACAATACCTTGAACTTTAAACAAATGTTTTGTTGGTAGATGAAATACGTGGAGTGAGGATTTGAAGGTTGTCTGCCCCTCTCCTGCTCTTCCTGACCTTGTGAGGACTCAGCTTCTGCCCCAATCTATATAGGATTCCAGCCTTCGTTATTATAGTTCATCTTTGATTAATTACCTGTATAACACCGATTTGGCACACAAGTTGCTGTTCTTCCTACTTTTTCATTTGTGAGTTAGTTGCTCAGCAGTTAGAAAAATGTGTAGTGAGGCTCGGGGCATCGGGGCACTGTACCTCTGTGGTAGAATGTTTAAGGCTGTAGGTTGAGTTCACCACCATTCCCAAACGAAGAGACCAACGACAATGAAACAACGCAAAAACCTTTTCTTCAAATTGGGATCATAAAATCTTCCACCTTCAGGGACAGAATAGGTAATACACCAGGTCTGAGAGCCCTGGTTGGATAAATCTGGGTGAGTATGCCCATGCAGTAATCCTGCAGAAATTCTGGCCCAGTATAACCAGATCCTCTTTTCTTTTTTTCCCAAAAAAGTAGCAAAAAATCTTTATTTTTCAGAATATTAAACATGATTAAAATATTGGCTTTTTTCTGTTTTGAAGCAAAGAATCAGATTTGACTCATGTCATTCATTTGCTAATCTCTGCCTTATAAACTTTATATAATTACATTTTCAAGTGAACAGAAAAGTCTGAGTTACAATGAAGATACTGTACATTTTTCATGGGATGAGGTGATAGGAGACAAATTAGTGCTGCTGGAAATGACTTCTTTTGTCAAATGCTGCTTTTTGTGGTGTGTAGTATTTCAGCTGTGTTGAATACCACAGTATGTGAGAACAGCTGAGGATGCCTGTCATTTTAATATTTTAATATTCATTGCAATGAGAAATATACTCACGGTTCCAAGTCAAGATGGCAAATCCCTAACTCCCTGTATTAAAAAGGAAGTTCTTAGCTGAGTGTGGTGGTACATGCCTGTAATCTCAGGAATCTGGGAGACTGAGGCAAGAGAATTTCAAGTTTGAGCCCAGCCTGGGAAATTTAGTGATTCAGATTCACTTAGTAGACTACTAACTTAGTGACTTAGTCTTAGTCCCTGTCTCAAAATATGGAAAATAAAAAAAAAAAAGCTGAGGATGTAGCTCAGGATAAAGGCCCTGAGTTCAATCCCCAGCACCACCATAAAAAGGAAGGAGAGTTCTCAAATGACTGTTCAGACGAGTTAGGTGTTGTGTTCTTTGGGGACTGTCTTGGCTTTGACACTGGAGGTGTGGCCCAGAGTTGTCACATTTCCTTGCTGCAACAAGATTTTTAGAGCAGTGTTTCTCAGCCTTGGCACTTTGGACACTTTTGGCCAGATGGATGGTCTTTGGTGGTAGGGGATTGTCCTGTACACAGTAGGATGTGTAGCAGCATCCCCAGCCTGCTCCTCAAGATGCCAACAGCACACTCCTTCTAGTTATTACAACCCCAAGTGTCACCAGACGTTTCCAAGTGTTTCTGAGGGGATAGTCACCCGTGGTTGAGGAAGAAATAGAGTCCAGACACTTGTGAAATCAACTACAAGCCAAATTCAGGGAACATCAAATTTTCAGTGATTAGAAAAACTAATTGTAAACTTAAACGTCTGACATTTTAAAACATTTTTATCATAAAGATAACCAAACCAGGGTCCTCTGTGAACAGCCCGTGTGTCCTGCTAAGTTTGAACTCCAAAGAAATGTCAGATATTCAATGCATTTGTTTAATTACATATGATTTAAAATGTTGGAAACTAAAAAGGAATTCTATACTAGTTTTCATTTTTCTTTTTTTAACATAGTGTCTTTCACTTTTTTAAGGTAATGACATATCAACTGACCATACTTGTTGATTTAGGAAAAAAGACACATATTAGAAGCCCAAACAAAACTAAGCAAAAATTATATTATTGAGACTTGGTGTGAATATATCATGTTTGGAAGAAAATTCAATTTTTGAGAAAATGACCTTTTTTTTTAAGCTAACTCAAAAACTAAGGCTGCCCCATGTTTCAGTAGTATGAGAAATCCCCCACTGCACATGATACATAATATGAAAAAAAATTTTCTGGAAATTTAACACTGTTAATTAGATGTTAAATAAGCTCAAAGAGGGGAAAAATACGGCCCTGGGTTTGAAAAATGCATTCTTAGCTAGGAATTAGCTACCCAGTGGCCCCTTCCAGAAATCTAACTTGTAGAACTCACACCTGACTAAGCTGGGGATGTGTCTCAGTGGTGCCGAGCATGCCTGGAAAGAGCAAGGTCCTGAGTTTGATTCCCAGTACCTGCTGTGGGGTGGGATGGGGGATCAAAACCAAAACCAAAAAGTAACAGAATAACTGGCTACATAATTCATGAAGCTTCTTGTTAAAAGAACGATGACTACGGTGGTCTGAGGCTGCGAGATCCTAAGTTTGAGGCCAACCTGGGCACTTAGCAAAACTTTCTCTCAGGATAAAAAGTATCTTGAGATGATGTAGCTCAGTAGCACAGTGCTTGCCGGCCCTGGGGGGAAGCCCTGTGTTCAGTGCCTAGTACCATAAAAACAATAAACAGAGGCAAGGCTTGCAAGATGGCAACCACAGAGCATTAAGCCAAGCAAGGGGCGTGTGTGATTACATAGATTGCTCTCTATGAACGTGGGCTGGTAAAGCTCTTTGTTTATAGCTATAAAGAGGGTTGTGATAACAAATGCAAAAAGAAGAAATGAAATGTCACTGCTGCAACCAATCACCCGGAGTCTGATTCATCCATTGTATGTGTTTCCAGTCGGGAGTCTGCATATATTTGGTAATCAGTGTCATAAAGTTACTAAGAAATCCTGTCATGATTAATTTTTATACCTCTGCAAAGTAGCCACGTTGTTGCATAGGCTCCTGGGTTCCTGGCCTACTTACTGGTGTAGGCCTTCATGGAACAACTACTGACTGAACAGCTGTTAGATGGGAGGCATTGTTGGCTCTGGGGCTACAGCCATGAGCAAGATGGAGCATTTCCCCCTAGGTGTGTCCTCTGGTCTGGTGGCCAGGGGAGCAGAAAGACAGGCACACAGGCTGCCACAGTCCTAAGCGATGGTTCAGAAAAGCACAGACTGTCAAACTAGGATGGTCCTCGGTACCTGACTTAGTTTAGGAGAGGAGGCTTGGTCAGGGAAGCCCTCCCTAAAAAGTGGTATTTCACACGAAACCTGAAAAACAAGCAAGAAGTAACTAGGGAATCACAGGATGAATTTCCAATAGGAAAGGTTGGGACAAGACGGAAATGTAGCTGGGAATGAGGCCTCTTGAATCAATTTTAGGATTTTGGGCTTTAGCATAATGGTAGTGGTGAATCAAATGAAGGATTTCAAACTTTTTTTTTTTTTTTGCAGTACTGTGGATTGAACCCAGGATCTTTGCCCTTTTCTAGTTTTTATTCTGAGATCTCACTACGTTTCTAAATTTCCTAAGGCCAAGCTCAAACTTGCCATCCTCCTGCCTCAGCCAGCCAGAGTGCTGGGATTACAGGCATGTACCACTCTGCCTTGCTCACTAAAGGATTTTAGGTGAGAGATAAGGTGATTTGATTTGAGTTTGTTTTTTTGTTTTTTGTTTTTTGGTACCGGGGATCAAACTTGGGACCTTGTGCTTACAAAGCAGGCAGCAGAACCACTGAGCTAAATCCCCGGCCCTTGATTTGAGTTTTTAAAATGATCACATAGTCACATAGGGGTAGGTTCTGCTGGCATGTACAGTGTCTGGCAAACCAGACAAAGAGCTTTGCACTTCTGCATGGTCCCTTTAGAAAAGATATACTGCTTAGACCTCAGCTAGACCGGTGCGGAAGGCTTCAGCCCCTCAGCTGGGCACATAGTGCTGGCACGGCCTCCACCCTCACAGGTGCCACCCTGGGCGGGGGAGAGGCTGTGTACACAGACCTGCCTGCCCAGGAGTTTGCAGTCACTCAGGGATAACACTGGGTAAAAGGGAATGGCAGAGGGAGACTGCGCCTGAGTGTGTGCATTTCTAATCAGCAAGAAGGTGGTGGTCATTTGGACATGGTTGGTAGAGAGGGAGGTAACGGATGATTCAGAAGTTTCTAGCATAAACAGCCTGGCGGGATGGGGTGGCGAATGTGTGTGGCGTTAGAGAGGTGGAGGAGGACTGGGCTGGCACAGGGCGGGAAGGGGAAGCGATTCCGTTCTGGATGTGTTTTGCGTGTGAAACATCCAAGTGGAGGTGGGGAGTAGGCAACGAACCCAGGGAACGGATCCAGGCGGGAACTAACTACCTGTCTGGAGCTGTTTCATATAAATCACATGGAGTAGAAAAAGATCATTCGGTGTAGAGAGAGAAGGGGCTGGCTCCACAGCTCTTGAGTCTTGTGTTTGGTACAGGAGAGGAAGCCAGATGTGCAGCCAGGTATGCATGGAGG